AACAAGGTTACAAAAAAATATTATCATACAAAAAATAATTTAACGTTACGACAACGACAATCTCGCTCTTCATCCTTACCACATCCAATAGATGAGCTGAAAAACGTTCAACGTAATAATAAAAATAGCACTACTAGTGAACAGGTTGCGACAAAAAAAAACTATTGATGACGATGTAAATTGTAACATTAAAACAGACAGATTTTGAAAGGTAACGTTAATTATTTAAAAGAAACATTAAAATTAGAAAATACCTTCGATGAATTAAAACAACATAACGGGTGTCCAATAAAGAATGGCCCTCTTAGTGTTTTCTAAATATCTCTGTCAAGGTTGATCGGATCAACTTGATCCCCAAGTCTCAGTCTTTTTTTAAAAACATTCCTCATTCAATTCTGTACACAAAACATATTGAACATGTCTTTTTATACTATAAGAATAAAAAAATATAGAGAAAATATGGGAAAGCTTCAGTATCGATTAATTTCAAACCCAAAAAGCAGATTTTTCAATTTCAGTCCCTTACATTTTGCGATACTAAAAAAGAGAAAATGGCCATTTTATAGTTCTCAAAAGTTCTATCAACTGGTTACATTTAAGACTCTTCATAGCCTCACGCAGTCATAGGAAGATTTTTTTCTTTTAGTGATTGTGCCGATTGTGATTTCAAGTTGGACTTGAAATCAACATCGAAAAAACCGAACAAATGATCAATAAAACAGCAGCAGCATCATCACCCGCACCTCTCACGATCAATGGACAAAACATCACCGTCGTGAATGATTTCAAATATCTGGATTCACAAATGGAATCCACTGAAAGAGACGTTTCGAGAAGAATTTCACTCGCTTGGGTAGCGTTCAAGAGCCTTAAACCTATTTTGTGCGTAACCAACAAAAAGGTAAACATCAATTTCAAAAGTCGACTTTTTACCGCCGCGTGTGTTTCAATTCTCCTCTATGGCTGCGAAACTTGGGTCTTAACAGACGACCTGAAACAGCGGCTAGACGTATATCAAAGAACTTGTTTTCGAATCATGCTGGGAATCAAACAAGCCGATGACCATGTGACAAACAAGGAACTCTATAAACGCATGAACCAAGTACCGATGTCAACTAAAATTTACCGGATACCGCCTTCGTATGAACGACGACGAACCAGTAAAACTCTACGTACTCTATGAATCGAAGAACAACATCGAAAAAGGAGTCCGAAAACAGCGCAAAACGTATACTCATCAAATCGCTTGCCACATGTGCCCAGACGAACAGGGGCAAGCCCCCCTCACTGCCAAAAAGATTACTGAGATAGCACAAAATAAAAATGATTGGACTGTTTGGAGTGGCGTGCCTAAAGTGCCCGACCGATGATGATGATTGTACCGAAAATCATCATTTTCTAACTACAGTTTTGAGGCACTTAGGAAAATTTGTATGATTCGGTCAAAACCACACATGATGACGTCGGGTGGGGTTTATCTTAAAGCAAAATAATTCTTCTGTTACATCCGAACAGAGAACGTCGAATAGTCCCATTTCGTTTCCCGTGCCAAGGCACAGAAATTAAGTAATTTTTGGTTGCACCTTGGGTTTGAAAATAATCGATATTGAAGCTTTCCCATATTTCCTCTATATTTTTTTTAACATGTTCAATATGTTTTGTGTACAGAATTGAATTAGGAAAAAAAAGATTGAGACTTAGCGATCAACCTTGACAGAAATATTTGGAACAAAGTCATTCTTTATGGAACACTTGTTAGTCAGATAAGTTATTTTTTGTAAAGAGATAAGACGTTAAAATCATATTTAAATGATAGAAACACGTATAGTATTATCGCGTTACAAGAGGTCCAAACCATCGACAGCATACTAAGTCAACAAGAGTTACAGTATTTTGAATAAGAGAGATTTTGAAGTTTTTTCTATTTTAACATTTTTTATAAAACTGAATTTAACATTTGTAATAAAAACATAATTTTGGCAGACTAGAGTTTATGCGCATAAAATCCATGTAAATGTGATATAAACTCTATGAATCACTCTCCAAATAATTGATCCATTGATGTAGTATGGATGTAGTTTTAATATAATACTAGTACACTTCGTAATAAAGATATAGAGAATTTCTATGATATTATTGAACGTAATATTGAATTATCAATATTTCATGAAAACCGTATTTATGCAAAAAAAAACAAAATCGTAACGAAGAGATGAAATAATAATTGAAAATTTAAACCCTTGATCTTTTTTTATTATCTTAAGTTGTTTTCGACGTTTTACTTTATGTCGATATCCAACATGGGATTAACAGTGTGAAAAAGAAGTACCAGTAATAAACGATTCAATGATTATTATGTGCATGACTTTGTTGTGACACCGCTCTTTTTCGAATATTATTATGATTATTCTCTTTAAATAATGGTTGTTGTGATTTACTTTTAAACGTCTGTGTTTTATTACTTTTATGTTTGTGAAGTTGTTCTGGTATGGGCTGCTTTACTTTCACACCTGTTTTACCTTTAATAAAGTGTTGTGGTTTTTGTTGTCGATTTACAGATCGTCGTTGTATTTGTTGATGATGCACATTTTGACTATCATTTAACTTCGATATAACTAGTTGTTGTTTATTTTTATTATTACGTTGAACGTTTTTCAGCTCATCTATTGGATGTGGTAAGGATGAAGAGCGAGATTGTCGTTGTCGTAACGTTAAATTATTTTTTGTATGATAATATTTTTTTGTAACCTTGTT